ATAAATAGATTTGTATGTGCCTCTTCCAAGTACTTATTCGACCTCTTTGCCACACTCTTCGACCTCTTCATCATGATCATCAATTTGACAGATCAGAGCCTTTTATATGTACAAATTTTAGCTACAAAAATTTACTTTGCACAGATCAAGTCTTTATCATGTATCTTATCTATTTCATCATCATTCATCATCAATAACAACAATATGCACTCACAACACTCAGATCATCACAACACCAACAACAATTAAAAATTTATCTGCAAGAAGAACACAGATCCAATCCTAAAATCATTGCACATACTTCAACCGTTAGATATTGATTAGGAATCATCTCAAACCATTCAAATGAAATGTAAAATTAAAAATAAATTTAAAAAAAAAGTTCTCCGGTATTCAAAAATATAAAATAAAAAATAAAAAAATCTCAGCCATTCAAACGAAATGTAAAATTAAAAATAAAAAAAAGAACCGTTCTCCCTTATTCAAAAAATATATAATTAATAAAATAAATAAATAAAATCAGAGATGGGTATAAATGATTTTACTGTCTTTGGGTCGATGAAAATCCACATAGAACATCTCCACCTTATAGTCACTCATCATCCTATTTCACAACAATCAAAACACAACAATTAAAACAATAATAATAATAATAATAATATAATAATAATAATAATAATAATAATAATAATAATAATAATGGAAGAAAAAAAAGGGCAACCATTCAAATGAAATATAAAATTTAAAAATTAAAAATAAAACAGATTTGTATGTGCCTCTTCCAAGTACTTCTTCGACCTCTTTGCCAACACTCTTCGACCTCTTCTCATGATTATCAATTTGGATAAATCAGAGCTTTTTATATGTACAAATTTTAGCTACAAAAATTTACTTTGCACAAATCAAGTTTATACATGTATCTTATCTATTTCATCATCATTCATCATTAACAACAACAATATGCACTCACAATACCCAGATCATCACAACACCAACAACAATTAAAAATTAAAGAAGAACACAAATCCAATCCTAAAATCACTGCACATACTTCAACCGTTAGATATTGATTAGGAATCATCTCAGCCATTTAAATAAAATGTAAAATTAAAAATAAATTTAAAAAATAAAAAAAAAATCGTTCACCCATATTCAAAAAATATAAAATAAAAAATAAAAAAAAATCTCAGCCATTCAAACGAAATGTAAAATTAAAAATAAAAAACGAATCGTTCTCCCTTATTTAAAAAATATAAAATTAAATAAGTAAATAATAAAATCAGAGATGGGTATAGATGATTTACTGTTTTGAGTCAATGAAAATCTACATAGAAACTTCTCCACTCTATAGTCACTCATCATCCTATTTCACAACAATCAAAACCCAACAATTTAAATAATAATAATAATAATAATAATATAATAATAATAATAATAATAATAATAAATTAAATGGAAGAAAAAATGGACAGCAATTCAAACGAAATGTAAAATTTTAAAAATAAATAAAAACTGTTCCCCTTATTCAAAAAATATATAATAAAATAAAAAATAAAAATCAGAGATGGGATTGATAAACAATTTTTAATTTATCAATAAAAAAATAAAAAATAATTTTTTATGTCAAAAATTATGTTTTTTTGTCAAATATTCTCTTTCTCTTGAATATTCAGCTCCACCTTCTCTTGAATAAGTTTGTTAAGATGAATAAAAATAAGTTTAAATATAATGTGTACCAAAAGATGTTCTGAGAAAAATCATGCAAATAATTGTCAAGATAGATTTCCGTTCAATTATCATTTTACACAACCAACACAATTGAATTAGTCTATGTTATTTAGGAAAAGAGCGAAAAAAATTCATGATTACGGTTTGGAAAAAAAAATTATTAACTTATGCATAATCCTTTTGTCCTTTATGTTCTACTTGCTCATATTAAAATAACAGAAACTAAGTCTACTCATTCAACTTTAAAACTCATTTTGCGGTTCAACCTTTAACTGCATTTCTTTTTTAACAGGAAGTTGTGTAAACTGACTCTAAACCATCTAATGATTTACTCTCAAAGTAACATATGGTCTAACCTGGAAAATTTTGAAATTGGCCGTCACGTGATCTCTTTACACTTGTTGAACTACCAGATACAATCGCATTAGGTCCTCCCGGAACTACTAACCCTCCATTACTACTTTTACCTTTTACATCCTACAACCAGAATAGAATGTTAGTATTAATACAGTTGTACAGTCATTTACAAATATAAATCATGGCAAAATATTCATTCTCTTCAAAATTAGTTCAAACCTTGAGCAGATTATATTGTTCCACCCACTTTGATTTTGTGAAATCACATAATGCAAGCTTCTTCAATGTCCTACAGTCTTCAGTTTTCACCCCTGACAAAGAAGATAAAAAAAACCCCTTCTGCAAGGAGCTTCTGAAAGGAGGATAGATTCTCCTTGAAAGAAGATGAAGATTGGGGTTGGGTCTCCAGCAAGGGAATGGGCTCTGATAGAGAGAGAGAAAAAAGAGAGGGGTTTGTGTTCAAAATTTGAAAATTGAAACAGAGAGAGATTTGGAGCAGAGAGGAGCACGTGAGAGAGAGATTTCCAGCCACATTATCTTGAGCTGAGGTGAGAGACATTTTGAACCCTTAGATCTTGATTGTAATTGATCTCAATCATTGAAATATCTAAATAGGACAAATAAGAGTAAGACATTTTCAGCCCTTGGATTGAAGCAATCTAAAGGTCCAAATTTTTTCACATATATATTTTCAATCTTTGAATTCAAACTAACCCTTCCATTGCTATATAGATTTACATATTAAATGTATTTAAAAATAAAAATATTTAAGAACATTAAAGATATAATTCTAAAATGAAAACTCTATTACGTGATAATAGGTGCTGTTAATAAATAATTTAAATATATGTGTCTTGTTTTTATTTGTTTTTTTTTTCCTGCTACATATCACATCATTAGAATCATCCTTAGTTAACTTTAGAGTGGTGATCCATCCCATTAATTTTTGGACTATTAATAGTTTTAATGAGCTTAAAAAAAAAAAAAACAAACAAACAAACTCAAGCCAAAACATCACATCACTTTAGTGGGAGCCATTGTGCCATATCATTAATGATACTCTAGAACTCCAATTTAATGCTCTAAAACATTATTGTTAACTTTATAGGAAGCACAAGATAAAAATGTGAAAGTAAAGACATTGAATGTGATGTGACATGAACACTACTCTACTTTTAAAAAATTATTCACCATCGGAAATTTTACTATAACAATATATTCATCTCTTTAGACTTTTCAATTAAGATTTTTTTTCTTTTAATTTTATAAATAATTACAAACACATCTTTTAAAATTTATTTAAATTATAAATTATTTCATTGATTTTAAAAATTATATTATATCTCTAAGATTTTTAATTTCATAATAAATAGATCATTTTATCATTTTAAAATTTTTTTTAATTAATAATTCATATAATTTTATATTGTATAGGTGAACAGTTAAAAATTTTACTTTTTCAATTAAGTCGTTAAAATAAAATTTTTTTGATAGGGAGGTATTTATAATTTTTCAAATCATAGGGGCAATTCGCATTTTAATCAAAACTTCAGGGAGTGTATTTGTAATTTATCTTAATTTTATCTATGTTTAAAATTACTTTTAAGAACAAAAGACAAAAATTAAATAGATTTAGTTATCTCTTTATACTTATTATATTCAATCCCTACTTTTTTTTCTTTTCTCATTTCTTCTCCTCTATTATACATCTACTTTCAAAAAAAGATAATCATAATATTTTAATCATAAAAAAAGTAATGGCGAAAGAAAGGGTGGTAAAGGACAAACAAAAAAGTGAAATTTTGAGTTTTTTTCTTTGTGGGTGTTTGAGAAGTTGTTATTTTAGTAAGTTTTTTTAGTTTTTGATTATTTTAGGAGGTTAAAATTTTAGGGAATTTATTTATAAGTCATTTTTCAGACACTTATGGTAGGCTAAGTCCTGTGTAATTTTTTATAGAGTCTCAAGTCCTATTTTGATAGGAATGTATTCCACAAGATCCTACATAAACGTAACGTGACGTGACACTTACATAAATGTAACGTAACGTGACACCTACATAAACGTAACATGACACTACATAAACGTAACGTAACGTGTCACGTTACGTTTCGCAAACTTAATGAGTTTTTATTTTTTTAAATTAAATGTGAAAATGTTGTTGGTTTATATTGGTGTCACGTTACGTTTCATATAAATATGACCTATGGTAACATTCAATTTCATATATAGGAAATTGAATGTTACTATAGATCATAGGTGTCACGTTACGTTTATGTAGGTTGTCACGTTACGTTACGTTTATGTAGATATAATTTATGGTAACATTCAATTTCCCAAAGATCATAGGTGTCACGTTACGTTTATGTAGGTGTCACGTTACGTTACGTTTATGTACATATGATTTATGATTTATGGTAACATGCAATTTCCTATCATAGATCAAGGTGTCGCGTTACGTTTATGTAGGTGTCACGTTATGTATATGTGTCACGTTACGTTTATGTAAGGTGTCACGTTACGTTTATATAGATATGATCTATGGTAACATTCAATTTCCTGTATGTGGTTTTACTATTATTTATGACATTAACAACTAATAGTAAGGGTAAATGTGTCAACAAACTTCCTACAGGACTTATGGGAACATAAGTTTTTTAGTAGGCCATATGTAGCATAAATTCCCCTAATAGGACTTATAAATAATTTTTTCCTAAAATTTTTGTGTTTGAGAAGATAGTTGGATTTTTTTGTTGTTGGACGTGATGTTTGTGAGAAAAAGTGAAATGATTATGGGTTTGATGTGACATTTTATCTGGGTTTTTTTTTTTTTTTTTTTTTTAACCAATTTTGCTTTTAGTGTTTTTTTTAGCCCAAAAAAAAAAAAAAAAAAACACTTCCCAAACACCACTTTTATATTTTATGTTTTTTTTTTGTTTTTTTAAGAGAGTTGTTCGATTGTTTTTTTTGGTATATACAAATTCAAATAGCTCGGAATAACACTATCAAACAACAAATACATATTTGATAAACCCACTGCCAGACAAAAAGTACATGTCCGGTAATTACAGCCAAACATTTTCATTTTTATTTTTCTAACATTTTTGTTTTTTTTGCTTTGAAGAATTATGTTTTTACTTATTATAGTAAGGCTAGTAGTGCACTATTAATGGACTACAGTCATGAATTTATTATACACGAGATTAGATTTATCTGTTTCTTAGTCATCCAATATCTCCTATAGCGGGTAATTGGATTTACTTTCATCACCCGTGTGCTAATGGATGGGAAGAAAGCATATACTACTCGTATTAGTCAATTCCGTACGCTTGTCAACTCTAGTGTATTAACTACTGAAACTATCAACATGGATGGATTGTGATAACATTTTAGTGTGTTTTTCATAATGTTTGTATTAATAGATTTGAAAATATTTGTATTGATAGATTTGATAAATATTTGTACACTTCATGTTTTTATGGATGTTTAATATTTTAAGAAAAGTGAATCTATAACGTGCGACAATAAATGACTGGATAAATTTAATTTGTTCGATAACATATACTGGAATAATCCAAATTGTTTAACAATGTATAACCAAATAGACCCATCATAAAATTTAGAAAAAAAATATGATGTTTTAAGAAAAGTGAATCTGTAAACGTGCAACTCAAGAAGTCACATGAAAAGAAGCACTGGAATCAAATCACTCAATTGCTCTCTTGGCCCACAAAATTGATACAATCATCTTCACAAACGACCATGAGATCATCGGTAGTAACTGCCGTTGTGTCTTCTTACTTCTTATCCACACTTTTGTCACGTCTTTTCTCCTTGTTCTTGAGCTTTCGGCATTCTCGCTTCATGTGCCCTTTCTCATGGCAATAATAGCACTCAATGTCTTTCTTTGAAAAAGAATCATCTTTTGATTTGTCACGGTTTGATCACGGCCATGAGGAGTCTTACTCCTCCCCCTTGTTTTGCTTCAGCCTCTCACAACAAATGTTTCCAAATGAGAGAAACCTGTTGATTTTTCTTCTAGTTTTTTCATTCAACAGGCTACTAGTGACTTGGCCCATTGTGACAACTCCATCGAGCGCCGAATTACTAACGGTCACAACCAAAGTCTCCCAACTTTCAGGCAAAGAACTAAGTAGCATCAAAGCCTACAACTCATCATCAAAAACAATTTTCATAGAAGCAAGTTGGTTAACAATACTCTGTATTTCATTCAGATGTTCCGGAATAGGGCTGCCCTCTTTATATTTTAAATTAACCAACTTACGAAACAGAAAGGCTTTATTTGTGGCTGATTTTCTATCATAAAGACTCTCTAATTTTTTCCATAAATCATGTGCCGAAGTTTCAGTAGCAACATGATGAAACACCATATCATCAATCCATTGACGGATAACGCCAACGGCTTTTCGATTAAGCCTCTTCCATTCATCATCTTTCATACCCTCGGGTTTGCCACTATCACTCTCAATGGGTCCATACAAATCTTTACAAAATAATAGGTCCTCCATTTTAGTTTTTCAGTTACCCAATTGCCTCCATTGAAGCTAGACATACGACCCACATTCCCCTCCATTGATTTACACAAATAAATAGACCCAAATAACAGTAAGCTCTGATATCAGTTGTTAAGGAAAATATGTGATTCCCACAAGTAAATCAATCAATGGGAATAAAAACTAATGTGGAAAAATTAATAAAAACAAAAAGAATTTTTACGTGGTTCCCTCAATATAGAGGTACGTCACAGGGATCGATTCCGATTCACTATCAACCAAATAAGTTTCCAAACAATTATAAACGAAACCAATGGTCTCACAAAATCACCCTTAGGTGAATTCCAAATAATCACAAATAAACAAAGAGAAAAGACCTCACCAAATAGATGAACCAAAATCTTCAAAAATCAGAGTTAAAGAAATCACAAATAACGAACTAAGGCCAAGTTTGGCATGAGACAAAAAAGACAAAAAGTCAAAAAGTCACTATCCTATTTAAGTCACAATCACTTATTTAAGTCAACCATCACCTCTCTAACACATCACTTCAACCTAACCCAAACCCAACCCATATTTCATAAAAAGTCAAAAAATGCACTTATTTAATCTTCCCAAACTAGGCCTAAATCATCCAACTATGAAGCCGAAACCAAAGAAGTAAACCGAAGATTCAGCACCTTAATCAATTAAGCCACTGGATTGACTTTTCCACATGCACTATCTCACAAAACAAATTGATCAATGAAGTGCTGCTGCTTCACAAAAAAAAACGGCTGCTTTTTTTTCTCACACACCCGAGCAAAAACCATAAACAATATATTATTATATACACATTGTTAAATCTAGGACTTGTTTTATCAAATTCTAATTGTATCCAAATTGAATTGGATCTTCATAAATTAGATATAATATATTAAAATATATTATACCTAAATCAAACCAAATTAAAATTCTTTAAGAAACCAATTGGGTTCCAAACTCCAATAAAGAAGTATATCCCAACAATCCAAGTACAAATAACATATAAGTTTACACAATAACAGTGTGAAAAAGCATAATTTTCACATTTATGATAATCGAAAGATTATGACACACTTACTTTTCATTCGGTCTACCAACATTTCGAAATTCTCCAGAACGCTAAAAGGAGAACTTCTTTTATGAAGCAATTGAATAATCACCAACTGAATGATTCATGCAGTTTCTTATTATCGCGAAAAACAGATGCTAGAAAGGCCCTCCGAGCAGGAAAAGGCCCACAATGCACATGAGGCTAGATTTTTTTGCTGCAAGTGTTTCCCTCTTTATCATAAAGAATAGTGTCATTTGAGCTGGTCACATTTCTAAATAGCAGAATTCAGTACCATCATATTGGTATGCTTGCTTTGTACTCCAATACTGCTGACCTGCAAGTTGCCCTTCGCAACACTAACAACATGACCATCCTGCAAATTATTTTGAGAACTCGCCAAGAAACCAATATCAGCATCCTTAACCTTCTCCTCATTAAAACCAATGTTATATTCGTTACAAAAAGAGTTAAATCCATTTCCTTGGTCCACATATCTGAAGTATAGGGAAAGGGGAAACCTTTTAAATGATTTGATTGAATACGTAAGAAGACGATGGCAACATGGCATAGACACTATCATTAAAATTGATTATCTGATTCACAGTCGTCAAATCCCCATCATTCCCCACCACAATAATGTTACTGTAATTTAATGATTGAATTGAATTGGTTGTGATCTTCCCATGGATGACCTCACCCATCCAGTCGATGATATGGACCTACTAGCTCTAATAAAAAATTTCCCATTCAGATCTGTAAAATTTGATTCTGGGGTAACAACAGGAGGCAAGCTATTGAGTCTCAAAAGCTGTCTCCCGTTTTTACACTCTTCTTGTCCAACCAAACGTGCAAATTCGCGTCTATGTACCACACGTTCAACGCGTTTGTGACACTAAATGCAAACTCGTGGCTCTTTCCATCTAGATATTTTCCCAAAAAATGGAGTGATTTCAATATCTAAAGAAGGGAGATTGAAAGATCCAATACCGGTAATGGGTCTCCATAGGAGAGGATAGAACCCTCCAGTATAGATCACAGTAAAAGGCCAAAACAGCACCAACTATTATACCATCCAGACTGACCACAACCTCCCTAAAAGCCCCATTCCCCGGTGTATTTGTGAGGTTATTCGCAGCAATATATTCATTGGGGAAATTCGTATACCAAAATTCATCATTCTCATGAAAAGAAACATAAACCTCCAACACAGCCCTATATGCATTTTGGGGAATATTGAAACATTTTTGATTGTTTATCAATTGAATTCTGAATTTAAGAACAACCCATCATCAATGGTAAATTTCGCCGAAAATGCAGGTAAGATCAAATCAGCCACAGAACTATACCCACTAACGGAATACCCAATTTTGGTTCATAAGATTGTGAGTACTTCAGCAGGATAGAAATGGAATGTTAGTCAGTTTATACACACCAGTGCGAGAACTATCAACACTCATTACCAAGATAAACAGCAAGTGTTTTGATTAGTCATCACGGGAATAATACCTGGTAATATCCTTCTTTGATAGTCCAATCTATTCTGTGGGTGTTGGCTCCGCTGTGGCAGCTCCGGAGAAGCTAACGCCCACGGAGCCAAACCCCGAGAAATGCGATCATATTGGATACCTTTAAGATTTTCCCTTTCAATTCAAGGACAATTGTGGTTGAAATTTTTGAGATGGGCAGCAGGAGGTCCCTCTCTCCTTCGGGTATACTCCGGGGTGGCTCCGTCGATGGCGGACAACGGAATCTCGTCTTTGTTCACCATGGACGGCGATCAGATGAGCCTGGAAGACAAGGTTTTATCTGTCAAGCTTCCCACAGACGGCGCCAATTGTACGGGGAGCAAATATTCTGGCAAGCCCGTACTCCTTTCTTCCAAGCTCCGTTTCTGTCCGATCACCTGAAAGCACAATGTGGGCGAGCTACCCGGTGGTGTGTGGCCGGAAAACCCCTCCGACGATCAAGTTAGAACACACACAGGGGATAGATAGAGAGAAGGGCTAGTGTTTAGTGTATGTCTCACCAAATGTTCATCTGTCCGCGTATGGGGGGCGCAGACGTGTTTATATACCTTCTGCGCCCCAAATCTACTCCCAGTGACCTCTCAACACGTGGCACTGCTATTCCATCTGTCAGCATAAACCTTGCTGAGCACCACTTAACCCAACTGCCTGCCCATTCTACTGGGAGCTCAGCAGCCGGGCAGTACCATCTCGGCCATCGTCTGCCATGCTGCGCTTCATACCCAAGTACTCCAACAGCTAAGCTCAGATGAGGACCGGACTCGGCGGCATCTCGGCAAAGCCGAGCTCGGGACAACTCACGCTTGTCTGCGGTCGACCTTCCTGCCGAGCAAAAAGGTACCTCGGTCCAACCTTGCCTTTCCTGGCGCTGGACCTTTCACCTGACCGGCTTCGTAACCACGGATCCTTGCAGCTCGGTCAATCCACGCGCTGCCTTAACCGAGCAGCTTCCTTCAAGGCTGGGCCACACAACTTGGCCCAACACCTGTTCGGCCCAAATCTCTCTGGCACAACTCTGTCCGGCCCAAATCTGTCCGGCACAACTCCACGGCCCAATCCAGATCATAAATCTCCCTCTCAACCCCTAACAAAGAAAGATAAAAAAAAACCCCTTCTGCAAGGAGCTTCTGAAAGGAGGATAGATTCTCCTTGAAAGAAGATGAAGATTGGGGTTGGGTCTCCAGCAAGGGAATGGGCTCTGATAGAGAGAGAGAAAAAGAGAGGGGTTTGTGTTCAAAATTTGAAAATTGAAACAGAGAGAGATTTGAGCAGAGAGAAGCACGTGAGAGAGAGATTTCCAGCCACATTATCTTGAGCTGAGGTGAGAGACATTTTGAACCCTTAGATCTTGATTGTAATTGATCTCAATCATTGAAATATCTAAATAGGACAAATAAGAGTAAGACATTTTCAGCCCTTGGATTGAAGCAATCTAAAGGTCCAAATTTTTTCACATATATATTTTCAATCTTTGAATTCAAACTAACCCTTCCATTGCTATATAGATTTACATATTAAATGTATTTAAAAAATAAAAATATTTAAGAACATTAAAGATATAATTCTAATGAAAACTCTACTTACGTGATAATAGGTGCTGTTAATAAATAATTTAATATATGTGTCTTGTTTTTATTTGTTTTTTTTTTCCTGCTACATATCACATCATTAGAATCATCCTTAGTTAACTTTAGAGTGGTGATCCATCCCATTAATTTTTGGACTATTAATAGTTTTAATGAGCTTAAAAAAAAAAAAAACAAACAAACAAACTCAAGCCAAAACATCACATCACTTTAGTGGGAGCCATTGTGCCATATCATTAATGATACTCTAGAACTCCCAATTTAATGCTCTAAAACATTATTGTTAACTTTATAGGAAGCACAAGATAAAAATGTGAAAGTAAAGACATTGAATGTGATGTGACATGAACACTACTCTACTTTTAAAACAATTATTCACCATCGGAAATTTTACTATACAATATATTCATCTCTTTAGACTTTTCAATTAAGATTTTTTTTCTTTTAATTTTATAAATAATTACAAACACATCTTTTAAAATTTATTTAAATTATAAATTATTTCATGTGATTTTAAAAATTATATTATATCTCTAAGATTTTTAATTTCATAATAAATAGATCATTTTATCATTTTAAAATTTTATTTTAATTAATAATTCATATAATTTTATTATTGTATAGGTGAACAGTTAAAAATTTTACTTTTTCAATTAAGTCTGTAAAATAAAATTTTTTTGATAGGGAGGTATTTATAATTTTTCAAATCATAGGGGCAATTCGCATTTTAATCAAACTTCAGGGAGTGTATTTGTAATTTATCTTAATTTTATCTATGTTTAAAATTACTTTTAAGAACAAAAGACAAAAATTAAATAGATTTAGTTATCTCTTTATACTTATTATATTTCAATCCCTACTTTTTTTTCTTTTCTCATTTCTTCTCCTCTATTATACATCTACTTTCAAAAAAAGATAATCATAATATTTTAATCATAAAAAAAGTAATGGCGAAAGAAAGGGTGGTAAAGGACAAACAAAAAAGTGAAATTTTGAGTTTTTTTCTTTGTGGGTGTTTGAGAAGTTGTTATTTTAGTAAGTTTTTTTAGTTTTTGATTATTTTAGGAGGTTAAAATTTTAGGAGATTTATTTATAAGTCATTTTTCAGACACTTATGGTAGGCTAAGTCCTGTGTAATTTTTTATAGAGTCTCAAGTCCTATTTTGATAGGAATGTATTCCACAAGATCCTACATAAACGTAACGTGACGTGACACTTACATAAATGTAACGTAACGTGACACCTACATAAACGTAACATGACACCTACATAAACGTAACGTAACGTGTCACGTTACGTTTCGCAAACTTAATGAGTTTTTATTTTTTTAAATTAAATGTGAAAATGTTGTTGGTTTATATTGGTGTCACGTTACGTTTCATATAAATATGACCTATGGTAACATTCAATTTCATATATAGGAAATTGAATGTTACTATAGATCATAGGTGTCACGTTACGTTTATGTAGGTGTCACGTTACGTTACGTTTATGTAGATATAATTTATGGTAACATTCAATTTCCCAAAGATCATAGGTGTCACGTTACGTTTATGTAGGTGTCACGTTACGTTACGTTTATGTACATATGATTTATGATTTATGGTAACATGCAATTTCCTATCATAGATCATAGGTGTCGCGTTACGTTTATGTAGGTGTCACGTTATGTATATGTGTCACGTTACGTTTATGTAGGTGTCACGTTACGTTTATATAGATATGATCTATGGTAACATTCAATTTCCTGTATGTGGTTTTACTATTATTTATGACATTAACAACTAATAGTAAGGGTAAATGTGTCAACAAACTTCCTACAGGACTTATGGGAACATAAGTTTTTTAGTAGGACCATATGTAGCATAAATCTCCCTAATAGGACTTATAAATAATTTTTCCTAAAATTTTTGTGTTTGAGAAGATAGTTGGATTTTTTTGTTGTTGGACGTGATGTTTGTGAGAAAAAAAGTGAAATGATTATGGGTTTGATGTGACATTTTATCTGGGTTTGTTTTTTTTTTTTTTTTTAACCAATTTTGCCTTTTAGTGTTTTTTTAGCCCAAAAAAAAAAAAAAAAAAAACACTTCCCAAACACCACTTTTATATTTTATGTTTTTTTTTTTTGTTTTTTTAAGAGAGTTGTTCGATTGTTTTTTTTGGTATATACAAATTCAAATAGCTCGGAATAACACTATCAAACAACAAATACATATTTGATAACCCACTGCCAGACAAAAAGTACATGTCCGGTAACTTACAGCCAAACATTTTCATTTTTATTTTTCTAACATTTTTGTTTTTTTTGCTTTGAAGAATTATGTTTTTACTTATTATAGTAAGGCTAGTAGTGCACTATTAATGGACTACAGTCATGAATTTATTATACACGAGATTAGATTTATCTGTTTCTTAGTCATCCAATATCTCCTATAGCGGGTAATTGGATTTACTTTCATCACCCGTGTGCTAATGGATGGGAGAAAGCATATACTACTCGTATTAGTCAATTCCGTACGCTTGTCAACTCTAGTGTATTAACTACTGAAACTATCAACATGGATGGATTGTGATAACATTTTAGTGTGT